CCCCCTTACCCCTTACCCCTTACCCCTTACCCTTACCCCTTACCCCTTACCCCTTACCCCCCTTTTCGTATCACAAATAATTCACAAATGAAGAAGAAAAAACGAAAAAAATGGAGTTTCAATTTCGTTCAAAAAATAAAAAATGTCCGTTTTGACGAAATTGTAGTTGGTGGAGGCACGTTGGATGAACCACCTAAATGTTGACAAGAACAAGCTAAGAAATATAAAGTGATTCAGAACGATCAAGGAAAAACCAGCAAAGTTTGCCTCGCTGCAATGGCAGATCGAGCACCGATGCCTGCCAACAAATGACTGGCTGATAGAAAGAACGAACCTAGAACAGAGAGGGCTAGCCCTCCCCTGGTGTAGGCTTTGCACCAACGCGTTCCCTTCCAGAAAAGTGTCAAAAACAATCGAACTCATTTTTCTTCTATGCCCTGGAGCAGTGTGGTTGTGGAGATGGTGGGATAGAATGTGGGATCAACTGGAAACCCAGATCCGGTGGCCGTGGGATTGGAAAGCTTTGCTATGCGAAGCCTACCCTAACGACCAACTTGATGATTTCACCAGCAATATGTTCAAACTAAGCCGCAGAGCGGTGCTCTGGGCCCTTTGGCGACGGCGCTGCACATACGAAATGGAAAGAGCACGGTTGGAAGGTCCAAAGTTCACGGAAAGCATACAACAACAGATCCAAACCGAAATCTCAGAAAAATGGGAGAAAGTCAGGATGCAAATCCAGATACTACATTCACCAAAAGACATCCAACAAAAAATTAAGGAATTTAGCCTCAGCTGGCTTGGAGGGGGATAACGGAGGGAGGATTGGGGAAGTTGAATGGAAAGTGGGTCAAACGGACCCTGGGGAAGGACAAGGGAGGAGGGATCTAGTAAGGGACTATCGGCTCGTTTTTCATGAGTGGACTGAGATCGACACAGCAATCCCCATGAGACCCAGTGACGATTTCCCTGATCCCTTCCCCCCCCCTTCAAACTGTTTGGTAGGTCTGGACTGGTATGGGAGAGATTGAGGACTCCAGGGAGGGTGAGGGGAAGTCTGACATCCATCCTTGAGGAGGGAGGAATTAGCACAAAACAGCAGGAATCTGGCGCCACTTCTAGGGTGAAGTTATTCCTCCCCCCTCCTTTTCAAGAGCCTGCTTGAATCTCCAAAAAAACATCCACCACCGGTCATCCGAACCAAACACGGAGTCTAAACTTAGGCAATAGCCTTCATCCCATGCTTCAGCCGCGATCCTTGAGATCCTTGAGCATACGCTCCTCAGACTTTCATACTCCACGCAATCTATCCGCTCTCAACATTGCCTGGTCAGAGCCACAGACAACAGAGAACAACATACCCGAGATCCCATCCCATGCGGAGACAGGAAAGAGCGCAGGGGGAATAGCTGGGAGGAAACAAAAGGCAAAGGAAGACAGCTTCCCAACCCATACATCCCACGATACCACCACAAGTCCCAGCCACTAATAGATCGTACGACACCCCTACGGAAGCGCACGGAGGCACATGGCAGCATTCAAAGACACGCACCCGGATACGAAAGTACACGAAAGCATACGAAAGCACACGACAGCAGACGTAGGCACACGAAAGCACAGGAAGGCACATGGACGCCTGGGGAAGCACATGAAAGCACACGCAAACAGACAGAAGCCCACGAAAGCACACAACAGCACGCGAAAGCACACGGAAGTCCACGAAAGCACACGACAGTACACGAAAGCACACGAAAACACCCGAAAGTACACGAAAGCACACGACAGCACAGCACATGATGGTTATACGGGTAACTGGTGAGAGATACGTAGTCAATCAAAAGGGCGGAAACCGTCCATTTCCCATATATATATACATGCGAATATGTACATATTTTTTTATCAAAGCGAAGGACACTCAGATGTCATAATCAGGGTGGGAATAGAGATAAGGATAAGCCTAGGTTCTCAATATGATTGGTATCCCACCAAACTACCACACCCAGGGTAGGCGGGAAAATTTTGCGAGTTCACTGGCTCGGGTGGTGGCATGCATCCTTTTTTTCTTTTTTCTTTTTTTTTTCTTTTTTTTTTAATGGACAAATGCTCCAATCTATTCGTGGGGAGCCACACGTGCTGGGAACCGGGCCCAGCGTCCCATATAGAGGTTTACAAGGGATTTGAAACACCAGGGCCATTACCTGGCTTCGGCTAAGAACAGTCTAAGAACTATGAGAAAAGTTCAGGAAAAGTTTAAGGAAAAACTCCGAATAGCTGATAACCTGCCAACCCATTACTAGGCTACACAAGCAACAATTACTGAGAGTCCTTTCAAATACTCAGGACCCCTGGAACCCCCCACAAAACACTCTAATCCTGAAACATGCTTTTCGCTAGTTATGCCACAGACTAGCTCATCAGAGGTAATCGAACAATGGATAGCACGAAGTGATTACGCAATGATCGGTCATACTGAGAACCATTATAGGTATCAATCTCAGGGATGGGATGGGAGGGGATGGGATGGGAAATCGAAAGGAAATCATCACCTCCGGTTGAGCTTCCGCTTCTGTTTGCTCGTTCGCAATGCCTTCATCTTCCAGGTGCAACTGCAGCATTTCCTCGAAATTGAAGGCCGAGTCCATGCTGACGATCAGAAGGTCTGAGAATCAGAGGATCTTCCACAAACCCACGGCTATCGTAAAGAGCGGTGCGCACCCGATACACACCCCAGGTGGAACCAGGGAGCACGACAGCGAGAGGGCAGCCGGGATAGCAATCGATATCCTTGGCAGGGAGGTGTGCGGGTTGGCGGATATCTCGAGAGCGAAAGAAGCGGCAGCAAAGAGAGGGGGAGACTCATTCA